AAGAACTGCTTTCACAAAGAAGTACTCCTTTCAAGAGTGAGAAAAAAAATCAACTTAGGTTTAAAATCATATATACAGTCCTCTCAGCAGTTCTAGTAAATGCAGTGGTGTGTAAAACAACATATGCAATACCTTTGCACATAACAATATTTGTTGATGGAAAATTTGTTAGACAAGTCTTGTTTCATTTGTTATTAATCATGATTTAATAAAATAATTGTATTTTATCATGATCTTTTAGCTAAACCTATGGTTTTTGGCTACCACAGCCCAATGCTTGTTGATTTCTGACTCTTAAAAACTGGAAGCCTTTTGATATTCACCCATCTGAAGATATTCTTGTATTGCAAGCATATTAAGGCATGGAATGATTAAAATAATATACCTCAAGAACTGAGAGACGACTGACAAAAGATAGATACACATGTAATATAAGTTAATATTTTGTTTTAAACGATGTCTAGCTGCCTAAGCCTCGCAAAATGAGTTGATGTCAAAATGGCATGTAGCCACTTTCTGTTTTAAACTAATTTATTTGTGAAAGGACATAAAATGAAGTTTAAAGCTTAGCTTTCAAAGAATATTATGGGTTATGAATTCTATTATCCCATCTAATTTACATACAGAGGAAATGTACTGTAACCTGTTAGAAGTATCTTTAACCTGAAGACTGCTTGCAAAGACAGATAGATAAAACAATATAAAATACAAATTTAAAAATCATTTTAAAGCATGAACACTCATGCTTTTCTATTTTTAAACATTGTTAAACTTTCCATATATTTCTGAAACCTCATAATTTTAAGTTGGAATTTAAAAGTAAGAAAAAACTAAACAAACTGGGCAATTATAAAATGAGCACCAATTTATATATATATATAATTTTATTTAAAATTTAGATCCCTATTCCCACACTCTAATAAGCTGTATAATTTTTGTTTAGAATTTTTCTGCAAACATACTACAATAAGCTTCTTTTATTTGGAGACAAAATACAGTGGCACTACTGGAAGGAATATCACAACATTACATTTTTATCTTAAAGGACAAGCAAACTCTCAGGGTTGATAATGGGATAAGCATGTTTGAGACTGGTTACCTTCTGGCAGTTCACTGCATCTGGATATTTCTGAAAAGTATAGAGAAGCTCTTGGATTTTAAAAATATCTTAAAATACATTTTAGATGAAAAAATTGTAAAAGTTCTGCTTATAAGTTTACTTTTCTCCACAATTACAATATTTAAAACAAAGTTTTGTCGATTGGTGTTTTAAGCATTTAAATTTAGAATGCTAAAAACAATTCTATCCTACAATTTCGGGGTGGGGGGATAAATTCATCCTTAACTTTGTTTCTTGGATGTAAACAGAAATCCAGCAGAGGTCATCATTATTTAGTACAACCAGTAAATAAATGTGAGAGAATTCGTATCTGTACCAAATGCCTCTTCAGATTGTTATATTTTTTTAAAAAAGCATGAAATAATTTCAAAAGCCAACTAACAGCGCATAAATAAAATATTTACTTTCTAAGAAAAACTGTAGCTTATCATCAAATTGTTTACTTGTCCTTTACTTTTTTTCAGGCAAACAAAACTGCCCCTCAATGCACTTGATCTTGGTAAGCATAAGCATGTCATTTCCTCCTTAGAGAAAATTCTGTACAGAATTTCACCATATCTACCACACTTTATTTAAAAATTTCCTCTTCCATTTAGAAAATGACTTCACCACTGACTTAACTGTGTACTGGCATTAAAACATTGACACCCCAAGAACTGATTCATCCATAATTGAAGCTGGATCAAAAAAATCAGGCTTCAGTTCTGTTCTCTCTCGTCGATTCTTTGATGGTGGCAAGTCTATACCTATGGTGTCAAAATCCATTCCCTCATTAAGATCCTCAATCCTCCCTTCTGAGGACATCAGAACATATGTACATATATACTCTTAAATGTAAAAAACTATATAAACGGGATCAGCAGATGTCACAATGGCTATGTCATTGCATTCCCACGTAGTTGACCACAGTCCGAGACCAGGCAACTTAAAACTCACACCTGGCGCATGTGCTTGTGTGCCCAAGATCTTGAGAGGGCAAGGAAGGAGAAGGGATTGTTGTGTAACCAACCCCCCGGGAGGTGATTTCTCACTTTTGGTCTCTGTCTCTCCAGTGAGTGCATGAACCCCATAGCAAAAATCTCTCAAAAGAAAGAAAAAAACCCTATATAAAGAAACACCAAAATGGGACAATATTTGTACATACAACTCAAAGAAATTTTATGAATGGCAGTTAAGCGCAGGAAAGGATATCAACCTCATTAGCCATAAGAAAAATGTAGACCAAAATGAGCACCACTACACACCTATCTCAATGGCTACAATTAAAAAGATAGTCCACGCTACTGTTGACAAGGATGTGAATAACTGAACTGTCATACACAGTGGGAATGTAAAATGGTAAAGTTATTTTTGAAAAAATTATTTCTTTGGATGATAGTTTGTTTCTAAAAAGTGAAATGAGTTAAATGCATACCTAGAATATAAAACGACCATTCCACTACTAGTTATTTATTCACCCTAGCAAAATGTAGGCATATATTCATACAAACATTTGTCTTAAACCTCATATAAACTTTATTTGTGATATCTAAAGTTGGAAACAACTCAGTGAATGATATTGATTAAAAGAAGCCAGGAAAAAAAAACATTACAGACTATTATAGTTTTATTTATATAAAAGTCCAAAATATGCAAACTGATCTATATTGTCAGAAAGTCGATCAGTGATTGCCCCAGGATGGAAGTTGTGAGATATAGAGGTGGCAAGAAGGCAGGATTACAAAGGCGCATGAGGAAATTTGGGAGGTTTATGGAGATGTTCTTCATCTTGATTAAGGCAATAGTTGGAATAAAGGTATGTGTAGGTCAAAACTTAATAAATTCCATACTTTAAATGTGTTTATTGTAAGTTAATTACACCATATTAAAGCTATTTTAAAATGATGAACTTTTGTTTGTAAAAAAATCGTTTTTAGAGACAAATTACCAGGAACAATTTCGAAATATCATATGCTATTGAATGGCAGAGGAATCAAACTCACAACAGGTTACTTTGAGAGTTGTGATTTACACAATTCACAGATCTGATGTTCACCCTTTGAGTATTGTTTCAGAAAACTATTCTCTTCTGCAAGTCACCTCCTGATGTCTTTAAACCCGCCATGTTAAGGAATGATTACTTACACTCTGCCACTTACTCTAAGAATCTTCCCTCGATTGTCTTCAGTAACAACAGTGCAGGAAGCCATATGGCAGAGGTCTGGATCCTTAGGTCAGCTTGAAAACACACCAGGCATGCACGTCAGTACCCCAGATCCTGAGGAGCTGGAGGGCTGGGAAAGGGTATGACAGTGTGATGGGACCCTGCTGAGGGTGCTTCTCTCATGCTTCTCTGTCTCTCACTCTCAGGCATGCACATTCTGTCTCTACCATGAATAAAATAAACATTAAAAAAAACCCAAACTGAAATTTCTTACTTTTTTTCTGAGAGATTTTTGCTATAGGGCACAAGTGCTCACCAAAGAGACAGAGAGTCAAAAACCAAGAAATTATCCCCCAGTTGGATATCAAATCACCCCACAATCCCTTCTCCTCTATCCTCCTCTTAAGATTTTGTGCATACACACACACACGTATCAGTGAGAGTCTTAAGCAAACGGATCCAGGACTTGAACCACTCGGGAGTCCAGGGACATAACCATTACAACATCTGCTGGGCCCAACTGAGATTTCTTTTCTAAAAAGCTAATTATTGTATGTTCAGCAATTGTACAAACTAGTAGCTGAACACAGATGTCATTAAAATTAACATATACATTTACAGTCAAATTATATTTTAAAAGATAATGAATACTTGGACTTCATTCATCAGGATTATAGCTTGAAATCAATCATGGCATGAATATTTACAACACAGAAATGAGCAAATGCTATAAATTGGGGCTTAATTTATTGTTTTGTTGATGTTTAAGAATAAAGAAAACCTTAATGTAGATTAAGTTAAAATTGTGTTGTGTCTGTAGTCATTAATTTGTGAACAGCACAAAAAATTAAGGAAATATTACAGTATTAGAAAACTATTATCTGAGTTTACAAATAAGTGACTTTGATCATTGACAAGCCAAGGTGTTTTTTTGTTTGTTTGTTTTTGAGAGGTTTTTGCTATAGGGCATGTGCACTTGCCAGAAAGCCAGAGAGAGACAGAGAGACAGAAAGCGAGAAATCACCCCCAAGAAGGGATGGCCACGCCACAATCCCTTCTCCTCCATTCTCCTCTCAGGATCTTGGGCATGCACACACACACGCCCGGCGTGAGTTTTACCACTGGGTCCGGGACGCGAACCATGGTTGACTACATGGGAGTCCAGTGACAAAGCCATTACGCTAACTGCTGGTCCCGACAAGCCAAGGTTTTGAGGAATGGTTTTATGGTTTCTCCTTTGTCTGATTCCTTAACATAAAAAATGTGTCAACTGTGCCTGCCATGGGTGCAAAGGTTAAGGTGTCTGGATCCCACATGGCCAACTGTGGTTTGAGTCCTAGAAAAATGTAAATCCACATTCATTTGAAGTGTAGTAAAAACTGGTGAAAATACTAGACTGTATATTCTCTGTACATTTTTGCTAAGTAAATGTCACATCCTTAAATTTATGGTAAGCTTATGTACGTATAAATATGCATCCATTTTTCTCCAGAGTGTCAGTGGCTAAACATTTAACAGTATGTCACTGGAGCACTTCCACAGTCCATAAACCTAGACCTTCCGTGGAGGTTTACCTCATGGGCATCTTTGTCTTGTCCCTTTCTTGTCATTTGTTAGCAGACATCAGTTCACTACTGTCTAATGAGACTTGCCAGTCCATGAATTGTGAGCCATGAACAAGACCATCTTATTCATGTTACCTTAACTAATCAATATTCTGAATAATTTTCTCAAACTCTCAGGGTTGATAATGGGATAAGCATGTTTGAGACTGGTTACCTTCTGGCAGTTCACTGCATCTGGATATTTCTGAAAAGTATAGAGAAGCTCTTGGATTTTAAAAATATCTTAAAATACATTTTAGATGAAAAAATTGTAAAAGTTCTGCTTATAAGTTTACTTTTCTCCACAATTACAATATTTAAAACAAAGTTTTGTCGATTGGTGTTTTAAGCATTTAAATTTAGAATGCTAAAAACAATTCTATCCTACAATTTCGGGGTGGGGGGATAAATTCATCCTTAACTTTGTTTCTTGGATGTAAACAGAAATCCAGCAGAGGTCATCATTATTTAGTACAACCAGTAAATAAATGTGAGAGAATTCGTATCTGTACCAAATGCCTCTTCAGATTGTTATATTTTTTTAAAAAAGCATGAAATAATTTCAAAAGCCAACTAACAGCGCATAAATAAAATATTTACTTTCTAAGAAAAACTGTAGCTTATCATCAAATTGTTTACTTGTCCTTTACTTTTTTTCAGGCAAACAAAACTGCCCCTCAATGCACTTGATCTTGGTAAGCATAAGCATGTCATATTCTCCTTAGAGAAAAATCTGTACAGAATTTCACTGTATCTACCACACTTTATTTTAAAATTTCCTCTTCCACTTAGAAAATGACTTCACCACAGACTTATTCTCCTTAGAGAAAAATCTGTACAGAATTTCACTGTATCTAAAACACTTTATTTTAAAATTTCCTCTTCCACTTAGAAAATGACTTCACCACAGACTTAATTGTGTACTGGTATTAAAACATTGACACCCCAAGAACCTGACGAGAGAGAAGAAAAAAAATACATTAAAATAGTAATTCATTTCTTTATGACACATACCTATAAATGTTCTGTTCATAGTTTACTAAAATAAGTTAAATAATATGCTAATAAAAAAAAAACACCTGGAAAACTTTCCCTTTTTCCTGGTAAGTAATTCTATAATTATATCTACCATCAACAAATAATGAAATAATAACATCAGTACAATTCAAAATGCTACTTACCTCACAAATATAACTTAAGTTGACTTTCATTATGTTCCTACACCCCCTTAATTACTAGATAGTGCCCTGAATATAGGTGTTCGTTATTTTTTTTTAATGAACAACTGAATGTGTTCCCTGACACATGCTTCTGGCATAGACTTGTTGGAAAGAGTTTAAGACTTGTAAACTTGACCATTTACATTCTGAAATGGGTAGTTTTTAAAAAGGCATTTGAACATGTAGAACAAACAAATTTAAGAACAATTTTTTTTGAAAAGTAGAAAATAAGAAGCTTTCATTAGAAAACCTAGCCTGAGCTTTAATTTGTACAGAAGTACAAAAGAATTACAGAAGTACAAATTAAAGGACATCAAATAGGTAAGATGAAATTTGGGCAAAATGACTAATATTGATGACTTCTTATACATTACCAGTTTAGAAAATAATTCAAGTAAAATCTAATTATTTGTCACTAACTAAAAGTAAATGATAAATGGTACCAACATCCCGCGTTCATTAAGAACAGAATATAACTTCTAATGTATATACTAAAAGTTAGGTTGTTCAAAAATTCTAGCCCTGATACCACTTAACTAATATTTTAGAATATAATAATGAATTAATAAGAACTGTTATGGTGACCAGCAGGTGGCATAGTGGTTAAGGTGCTGGACACTCCCACATGGCCGATCCTGGTTCAAGTACCAGACCTGGTGGCTTGCTTTCTCACTTTCCCCCTCTCTCTCTGTGTATCTCTCTCTGGTCAAATTAAAATAAATGAATGAATAAATAAAAGTAAATAAATAATTATTTTTTTAAAAAAAGAACTGTTATAAAACCTAGACGTAACGGACTGAGATTGATATCACAAAGGACTTTTACTTGTAAGTTAAATCTCATTTGAACAAGTCATAGAATTTATTGACTGTTTAGATCTAAAGGAAGTATGTATTTTCAGACCACGAAATAAGTAGCTAACTATAGCCACTTTATGTGCCTCCTGCCCAAAATCCCAAAAAGGAGAGAGAGATGGAGAAGAGACTGCAGTGTAATCACCTCGATGGGATGATTTCTTACTTTGCTCTTTCTCTTATCTCCCTCCAGTGAGTGCACATGCTCTCTGAAAACTTTTTTCTTTTTTTAAAAAAGTACAAATAGAAAGCTTTGGTGTGTTATGGCAACATTGGCAGAAAAACGATCATTATCACAATGAGATAAACCAATTCTGTTTACAATAAAATCAACTATAACGTAAGCTGAAAATCTTGGACCAGCAGTTAGCATAATGGCTATGTCGCTGGACTCCCATGTAGTCAAGTGTGGTTTGAGTCCCGGACCCGGTGGCTGAAACTCAGGCCAGGCACGTAAGCATGCGTGCCCAAGATCCCGAGAACAGAATGGAGGAGGAGAGACTGCGGTGAGGCCATCCCCCCGGGGGGTGATTTCTCGCATTCTGTCTCTGAATTTCTGGCGAGCGCACACATCCGATAGCAAAAACCGCTCAAAAAAAAAAAAAATCTTATACGTATGTAACCCCAAAATGATATGCTCAGAGGCTTATATTACTACTCTGGATGATATAAAATCATGTTACATGATATATTAGGACTTACTTGGTAATAATCTGAAGTATGTACACTAGGGTTGAGTTACTTCACTCAATTTAAAAATCTTAAAACTGGGCACTAGGGAACCAGCAGTTAGCGTAATGGCTATGTCACTGGACTCCCACGTAGTCGACCGCGGTTCGCGTCCCGGACCCGGGAGCTTAAAACTCACGCCGGGCGCGTGTGCGTACGTGCCCAAGATCCCGAGAGGAGAATGGAGGAGAAGGGATTGCGGTGTGACCATCCCCCCTGGGGGGTGATTTCTCGCTTTCTGTCTCTATGTCTCTCTCTGCCTGTCTGGCGAGCACATGCGCCCTATAGCGAAAAAACCTCTCCAAAAAAAAAAAAAAAGGGCACTAAAGAATGTAAGATCTCACTATTGCTTTGATGACATATTTGTAAAGGTTTTTGCCATAGGGCATTGTGCATACACTTACCAGTGAGAGAGAAACATAGTAAGAGGGAAAGGGAAAAATAATAACAGAGAAATATTGAGGAAAAGTGAGGTTGATATTCACACCACAATCCCTTCTCCAATATTCTCCTCCTGGGATTTCTGGGCACGCATGCACACACACCCAGTATGATTTTCAAGCCACTGGGACTTTTGAACAATGGTCAGCCACATTGGGAATCCAGCACCTTAATGACTATGTCACCTGCCAGCCCCTTTGATAATATTATCACAGGCTGAGTAAGAATAGATGTAGGCTATTGCATAAAGGTAAACATTTTTATGTTTGAAACTTTTCATTATTCTACTTCTTAAGGTAGTACTGAGACAATATGGGGCAAAGTTTTAAGGTATGTGTTTTAAAAACTCCTATTAATGAGTCACAGAGTCAGCCAGCTCCATGGTACAGGCATGATGCACTGCTCAGAAGCTGGATCCCATAGGGTGAATGCAGTTTGAATCCCCAGCCCAATCAGCCTGAAACACATGGGACACACACAAGAGCACCTAAGATCCAGTGAAGGGGGTGCAGAAAGGGACCAGTGTGTGGCCAGACACTGCAGAGTATTCCCATCTTTCCCTCTCTCATATGTGAGCACAGCTATTCTATCAAATAAAAAAGTCAAAGATGTCTACAGAGGGGATCAGATAGTGGTGCAGAAGTAAAATACAATGCTCTGTGAAGTAGACCCACATGGGAGAAGTCCAAGTCCAGAGTTCAAGTCCAGAGAATGCCCTGAGTATTTCAAGCATGGCTGTGCCCAGGGCTGGCAAAAGCTGGGGATAGACTAAGGAGTCAAAGTCAAAACCTTGTTGAGGGTTCTATCTGTCTTTCTCTCTCTCGTTTATGGAATAAATAAATAAATTTCTCTAAAAAGCACTTCTAAAGATACAAGAACCTTTAAAATTATTGGTTCAGTTATGTGACTGCTGCCATCGTGTGGTAATACTGTAAAACTACAGTTACAGATACATGTGTTCATTTTACTAATTTTAGGAGCAGAGGCTGCTAACCTAGTATCAAATTAAGAATAAATAAAGGCCTTTTGGTTATAATACACTCAATATACATGAAAATTCCAAAAATTTGCTATTTTGGGCTTCATTTAGATTGGAGTTTTCTCTAAATGTTAAATGTCAAAAAAAGATATACAGAGTTTTTATTGCTGTTTCATTATTTTAATAATCTGTTTGCCTTTATATAACAGCCCACATCTGTTCCTACATTGTGCAAATCTAGTCACCTAAGGAAACAAATGCTTAAAAGTTCTCCTGACATTAGAGGAACACATGAGAAAAATACAAAGTTCTCTAACTGTCCATGTATTTTTTTTTTTGGGGGGGGGG